AGCAAAATATATAACACTGTTCTAGTGGTTTTTGGATATTTTAATAAAAAAAACTTACGTATTGTGCCTTTAATGCCATTTCTATTGAAACTTATATGTAATTACAATGTAGTAATAAATATTTGTTATTACACATTTGTAATGAATTTTACAATCTATTTGAAGGGCAACAAAAAGATGAATACATTAAACAATTATATAAAATTGATCTTTTTCATTTGACATTATTACAAAGTGCACTTTTTAAAAGTACTTAACTGTGTTAAAACAATCACGAAAGTGTACTTTTTATAAACTTAAATGAATTTATATTTATATTATATTATATTATATTATATTATATTATATGCAAGTAGTTTTTAAATTTATTTTAAGTGCACATACAATACAATTAAGCACACTTATTTTTCAATTTATTTAGCCACTTGTTAACAATTGCCTTTTTCACACATAAACACTTAAAGTGTAGCTTTAAATGCTAATGAGGAGGAGAGAGGCGGGGCAACTGCCATGCTTCGCTCGTTTGCAAGCCATGATGTCTCTCGAGGAAAAAAAAATATTGCGCTCGCCTCGCACGGTAGTAGCTCATTTTCTCATGGGCGGGCCAAATTCTCTGGGCGGGCAAAGCAGAGAAAGGGGAGGTAACCTTTCCCCGTATGACGACATAAAGGGAAGATTCCGGATTGGGCCATCTGAGCTTTCATTTTCTCAAAGGAGAAGCAGGATACCCAGGGCTCGGTTTACACCTATCGCCATTTCTAGCCACTTGGGGACCATAGGCAGGCTAGGGGAACTCATATTAATATTAAAAAACCTCATAAAGTGACATTTTCATGCCATGGGACCTTTAAAAAAAAAAGTGGCGTGATTACTGATGTGTTTTATGTTGTAGAATAAAATGTGAAAATATCTTGAACTTGCATTAACCACTAACAAATGACCATTAATATAACTAAGCTACAGATTATTTAAATAGCTTTATCTCATATTTGCATTAACTATGTAAATGTGATGTTGACCTTTGTCATAAAATTTTTTAAAAGCTTCCTAGTTAGTGTTGTGGTATTTTTCACAACTTCATTCAGACATTTCATTTAGCACTGAAGTCTGGGATCTATTCCACTAAGTGACTTTTTTCATTAAATACGAAACACATGTTGTATTTGCATGCTATTCCAGATGACTTCTGAAGTGTAGCATCTGTTTTGAGATTCATCAATCTATGTTACAGTTATATGGACTTGCATTGGATTTTCTAATATCTCTTTTTTGATCTTTTGTTCTGCCTACAGCAGTCAGAGTTCGGGGAGGACATCTGCACTGTGACATTCAAAGCGTTGGATGTGCCACCCCCTACTGGTCCCATCTGGATCCTGGGGGCGAACTTCATAGCTCGATACTATACAGAATTTGATCGGAGAAATAATCGCATTGGCTTTGCCCGGGCAGTTTGAGAAACACATAATTTTCTGCTAGCCTAAATTCAGATTGCTATTACATTGACATGTACACAACACACAGGATACTTGATCTATCACAATAATAGCTGGTAACTTAAGTTATAGCTTCCTTTGTGAAGGAAAAGTTTAAGCATAATTTTAAAAAGTACTTATTATGGAAATGAAATAATTGAACAGAATATGCTTGAGTGTGAACTGAATGTAACGCTTAAATGCATGCTATTTACAAATAAATCAAGATGTATGATAGTTTCAATTTATATTAAATGCAATTACTTAAGTTGAAATTAAGAGTACTTTTGACCCACATAAGTAGGACTTAAATACATTTTTATATGTAATTTCAAAATTAGTTCTATTGCCTTTGAAATAAGATTAAAGTGTACTTTTGAATGTAGCGATACACATCTTTTGGAAAACTAAAATATACTGTTATTTCTAGTATTTGTAGTTGCACATTTGTAAGGATGAAGTTGAAATGTATTACATTTAAAATATATTAACTTTAAATTTAATATCAAGTAAAAAAGCAAGATAAAATGTTATTAAAAGATAATTATAAAAAAAAAAACGTAGTAACATTTAATTTGACGTTACGCAAAATACACTTTTTAAAAGTGTATAAGAAACATAAGAAATATAAGAATCAAAGGATACTTTCATCATTTCCTCATCACTTGATCCAAATGCTTATGAGTTTCTCTCTTTTCTTTTTCTTTTGAAGAATGTGTAACCAAACAGACGGCAGCCACTGACATTCATTTTTTTTGTCCGTATGGAAGTCAGTGGCTACAGTCAACTCTTTACACACATGCTTCAAAATATCTTCTTTTGTATTCTACAGAAGAAAGAAACTCATACAGGTTTGAAACAACTTGTCGACAGAGAGTAAATGGGTGGCCTTTTATTTCATTAGTATATTATTTGCAAGACCAGTTATTTTAAAAATTGGAGTAGACTACACATTTACTACAGTTAAGCTCATGATGATCAGAGGCCAACGCAGCCCGATCTCACGGCAATTCGTACATATTTTACGAGGTGGCTAATTCGTACGACCTCACTTGTACAAATTCATACGATTTTTGCTAAATTGTACGTATTTTACGAGTTGCACAATTCGTATGAATTTGTACGAATGACCTACATCTAACCCCGACCCTAAACTTACCCGTCACTGGGGTCTAGACAAATTGTACAAAATCATACGAGTGAGGTTGTACGAATTTGTACGAATTAGCCACCTCGTAAAATACGTACGAATTGGTCGTGAGATAGCGTTGGCCTAGTCTGACTGACAATAGAAATATGTTAGCAAATTTATTTTCCCACAAACCACAAGTCTATCAAGACAGGAAGCTGTTCTTCGGTCAGATGTGTTGTCCTCTTTCAGAAGTGTTTGACAACAAGTTTTTATAAAGACTATTACGAACTAGCTCAGACAGACAGAGAGAGAAAAAAAAACATTGTTTTATTCCCTTGAGCTACTCATTGTAGGTTTCACTGAACATGACATTTGGTTTTAGTTTTAACCAAATGTGTATAGTTTTGAAAAACGGAGTAACTCAAAAAGACACACCCTTTGGAGTTCCGCACCAAAAAAGTATTATAGTTATATCATAGTATATGATATAACTATAATAAATATATATAGTTATATCATATTTAAAGTTACATAAAACAAATAATCTGTACTATGCTTGCTACATAAACAAAACCCATATCCCAAAAATCGCCTTGCATTCAAATTTTCCACTATTGTAACCACAATGTGCACGTTTTAATTTGTATTATCCTCAATAGATGTGGTAGGAACTGATTTTACAGGAACTGATTAGTGCCCTACAATGTGTGAATACTGTGAACACTAAATAAACCAAAAACAACTTTAGCTGGCAACTTTACTTTTTTGTTGGCAACACTTCAACACAATCCAAACAAGCATATGAGGCGTATGTGAGGCCAAACGAATGTCAGGATAGATAGAGATGTTTACCCCTTTTGACCATCCTCACTGTCTGTCCTGTCTCTGGAAGCTTTTACAAAAGCCCGGGACTGGTGAACATCTTCATTACGCTAGAGCGCTCAACCATATAAACATATCGACTGAATTTTGATGTTTTTGTCTCTCTGTCCCAGTCTGTGTGTGTTCAGAAACTTGCTTGTCTTGCAGCGTTTCTGTTGAGAAGGTTGTGAAATGGAATGCGAGATATGATCTCCTGCTGTTTTAGTCACGCTGAAGACGCCTTCCTCAGCAGGAGCTACAGATTTTATCACTATTTTGTCTCTCTGTCTCTTTCTCTTTCTCTTGCCTACCATTCCTGATGCACATTCTTTAGCTGCTGTACGTTTTGAAAGAGGTTACATCAGCTATAACAGATGTCCACATCATAGTGTATTTATTGAATCATAATATTTTATTGGATAAAATATCAAATTCAAATTTTGGTTTTAAAATTTTCTAGGGTTTTAAAATGTTCTATATTGATTTAAATGGCTCGTCAATATTCGTTCATAGGATCACTTTACCTAACAAAAGACAGTTACTTAGGAAGTGACATGATCATTTTTGGTGGGGAAACAACAGCACAGACTTAAATGGTTTTAATGGGATGTTGGGATTTCCTTTTTTTTAAGATTATGTTTCACTTTAAACATTCTGTCCTGTTTGATTAAGTAACTCCACTACTGAGCTGTAGTATTGTTTAAAAATGTGGTATCTGCTATGTTTTTTGAAGAGGTTAATACTTGATAGATGATCATTTTCAGCTAGGATGCATTATGTAGTAATGCCATTTATAACATAACAAAACATTTAGATTTCAAATAAATGCTGTTCTTTTGAACTTTTTATTCATCAAAGAACTGTTTTTAACATTGATAATAATAAGAAATGCATCAAATCAGCATATTAGAATAATTTCTGGAGGATCATGTGACACTGAAGACTGGAGTAATGATGCTGAAAATTCAGTTTTGAATCACAGGAATAAATTACATTTTATAATAAAAACAGTTATTTTAAATTAAAATACTATTTTACAACATTACTCTTTTACTCTTTTATTAATCGGAAAATTCAGCCTTGACTTCAAAAACATCAAAAAATTTGAATGGTAGTGAATATTTATTTCTGAGAGTTTCTGACAATTTCTGAGAAAGTCTTTTATGTTCTTTTATGCTCATTAAGAATGTTCATAAAAATACTAAGCATTTTCCTTTTGAAAAACAGTATGACCCATAAAACGTATGACTATAATATGATTCCTGTAACTACAGCAAGTAAATCACACCTTGTCAAATCTCACACAGAAATGTCAGTATAGCCAGACTTAAGGTTTTGTTTGTTTCAAGATTACAGTAATATGATATGTATTTCTGTTTTTTTTTTTTTTACAGGTTGAATGAATCCTTAGTATTTTTTTTAGTTAAAGGGGTGGTTGATTGCGATTTCACTTTTTTAATGTTAGTTAGTGTCTAATGTTGCTGTTTGAGCATAAACAATATCTGCAAAGTTACGAAGCTGAAAGTTCAATGCAAACGGAGATATCGTCTTTTAAAATTCTGGCAGTTTAATGCCTACAAAAACGGCTGGTAGGGACTACAACAAGTTACTTCCCGGGTTTGTGACGTAACAAACCCAGATAAACCTCGCCCTCGGGAAAAGGCAACAAAGGGGGCGAGGCTATGCTGCGCTGCTTTAGAGAAGCGGAAGAGAAAATGCACGTAAAAATCTATTCATCTATAAATTGAGATTCTGTCTTCTAACGATTCTAATAATGTTTATCTAATATCTAATAAAGTTTCAAAATCAATGTTCTCAAGCAGTGGTTCTTAATCCTGTTCCTCGTGTTCCCCTGCTCTGCACACGCTCTGCATCTCTCTCTCTCTCGCTCTCATTCAGCTCAGCTCCAACAATGAACTGTTACAATTATACACGTATTTTCACATAGCTATGAGAAGCGTTAAACATGGATGCGCATGTGGTTGCCATACTGTAGTAAAGCTTTAATCAGGATAAAACCGTATATTAAATGCTAACATAAACAGTAGCATTTACAAATAACAGCGTATCTAAAAGTATGAGACAACAACAAACAAAAAACATAGGCCTACCATTAAAAGCCGTGCTTCTGTCACGACTCACACACTGGGAGCACAGGAACGAGCGAGGAGACGAGGAATGAAGTAAATCAAAAGGGTTTTAATGAAGGCACGCTGGGGATCACAGGACGGGAGACAGGCAAACAAAATGACACTTAACAGCAGACAGAGAACTGGGAACTGAGAACACTTTAAATACACAGACACCAATGGAACACACCTGGGAGCAAATGAATTAATTAATCAAAACACAGCTGGAGACGAATACACACAATGAGGACAGGAACAGGAAGGACCAAATAAGGGCAAGGAAGGCACATGAGGAGCAAAACACACACAAAACACGGACCAGAGTCTGACAGCTTGCACAGGTTCTGCACAATCCTCTTCAATAATGTCCTCTGCTTCTCAATCGGGCTCAAACTGATAAGTGATATTAACATGCAGTTGTTTACAATACAACCGGAGTACATGAGGTGAGGTGAGGGGCGGGACATTTAGACGCGCACTAGAGGCAATTTAGCCAATCACAACACACTGGTCTAGCTAACCAATCAGAGCCCATCGCCTATTTCTGAGGGAGGGGCTTCATAAAAGCAGGAAATGATCAGCGTGTTAATAGGAGAAGGGACAGAGCGGTGTGGAATAAAGGTAAATTATGTGAAAAATAATGCGTGTTTTTTTTTTTTAACTAAGCATTAACACATGTTAGACTGCACCCCATAAACACAATCAAGCCTAGAAATAAACATGTGAACCACCCCTTTAAGTTTTTTTTAGTTGCCATAGGCCACCAGGTGTTTGTACTGTCATTTGATTGACATACTATATGATTCACAGCCAATTTTGAAATCTGAATACCTACAGATGTGACAATATAACAGACGTCG